TAGTTAGTGGTCAGCACTTCTAGCTGTGAGTATGAAATACAGGTTGCAGGAAAGTTAATGAAAACCCTTTCCTCGGGGATTTTGGGGTCCTCCAGAGGCCCCCTTCTATCCAGGTTATGCTTTAGGGATACAGGCTGGATGGGTTTCAAGGGCTGACTTAGTCTAAATCAATTTTTTTATTGACTAACCTGTTGAATTTGTCTCCTGCATCAGGGCAGTATTGGACCTGGTGTTCTCATCTTCATAAGGAAAACATTGGAAAATGCCCAATCACCTATTTCAGAGCTAAAATGAACCTCTCAGATTATCTGGCCCCTTGCCCTTGTTTTACAAATGGGGAAACCAGCCCAAGGAGAGAAAGGGACATGTACATGGTCACATGACTATTAGGGCACGGCTGGATCTAAATGCGGGTCTTTCCCCACTTCGCCTTACTAAATAGACTATTGAACTGCAGCTGGTATTGTGAGGCCGTCCAGGAATCAGGGAGTCCAGGATGCTGGATGAAATGAAAGGATGTGCAAGAATTCCCTTCCCTGGACTGGACTCTCAGGGCCTGCCCCAGCAAAATCGCTGCTACTGACCCTGCAGTCCCAGCCTTACATCCAAGAAAGGAGGCTGAGTCCCACCCACTCAGGCAGCCCCAAGGTTATAACTTAATCTGCATAATTAGGACATCCATTCCAGAGGGGGAAAACATGGAAAAGATAAAGGGCCTCTTTAAAACAGATTCTTCCTGATAAATTTTTTTCATAATTATAGCTTTAACAGCTTATGGTGATGGGAAAGCTGGCTACTTAAGAAAAATTAGGAGTCTCATTTGGCAGGAAAAGAATCCCCCGGGGGACAGTGCCCTGTCATTTTTCAGGGTCTCTGGAAAAGAAACCCCACACAGACAGCTGCACGTCAGCCTGACACAGGGCAAGCCTGCTTTACTTAATATGGCCAAAGCCAGATCTTTTAATTAAAAACACTGCATATGCCATTAAATGCGTTGTTCCCCCTCCAGTCCCAAGACGTTGTAGTTTGAGGAGATACAAACAAATGAATACGTTGCAGATGTTCAGAGAAACCATTGCCTACTTGAGTCACAAACCAGCGGGTTCCCAAATTCCAGCCTCGGAGTGCCTCCCCATCAAAATGTTCTTTGCAAGCAAACTGTTCCCTCTGTAATTTTCACAGTTTATGGCAGTTGCCATGGTGGGAGAAGAAGGGCCGTGGGGCGGACGAGGGAGAGAGAAACGCAATGCCACCTCACTTAATTTACCAGCAGAGCCTCATATTTTACAAATAACCTTCATGATAAATAAAGGCCTGTGGCCACACATGGGACTGTGCTGTTCTGTGCATGTTTGCTTTTCCTGGCTAATTTTATTTATTTATTTTTGAACACAAAAGTCACATATTGGGGGTAATCACATCCCAACTCTGAGATCTGGGAGGAGACGCACAGAGGCAATGCTCGCTTAATTTCAGCCACCGGAGATGGTTTGAGTTTGACAATTTCAGCCGATTCTTACCATCACTAGCCAGAGCGCCTTTCTGCCCAGGCGAGTCCCGGCAGCTGGATCTCATTTTCAACTGCCAGGCCATCCCCACGCCTTCCTGGAGCAGCCCACAGACTGAGTGCCGTCCGTTCCGGGAGTTTATTCAAGGTGACAGCTCCTCACACAATGGCCTTCTGATCATCTCAAGTAGCCAAGATATCAGTGGGGTCGGCTGTGCTCCTCCTGCAAATTCCAAATTTAGATTGACTGAGGTTATCCTTAGGCCCCTTGTCCCCACCGCTCCAGCAGAACAGAACTGCCAGGACCTTCGCAGCCGCAGTGAGTTTTGTAATGATGTCTGGGGAGAGATGTTCTGCAGGGGCAGGCAGAGAAGACCCCGAGTGATGGGGAGTGATGTCAGCTTTCGTTAGAGCGGCAGACAGCGTTAGAATATCCTTGGCATGATATGGCGCTGGTATCTCTGTCAGCATCTGTGTTTTCTGTCACCGCACACAATCCTGGGCCTGTCTACAACCCTGACGGTGTCTTTTCAGATCAGGCTGTTGCCAGCACAGAGACTAGCTCCGCTCTTCACCACACAGCCCCTTTGTTTGAAGTCTGCCCTTTTGTCATTAATGCACTTGATGTCTATTTAAATCTGACAGTGAATGTGGTATCTGTTTTCCTGTCAAGAGATCATTGACAATATTAATACCTCATGTCCTTGCCTCATTTTCCAAGCGCTGACACCTAGCCACAGTCTCCTGCATTCATCAAACAGCCTTCTCTCACCAGGATGTCTATAAACATTCTTACTTCCAGGCCCAAAGAAAAAGGGTAGGCCTTGAAAAGGGCTTTTATCAATGCCAGCCAGAAAGAAGGCTTGGGAATGTGGCACAGAACACATCACAGCCCACGTTCCAGGAGCATCCAGCCTGTTTCTAGGGCGGCACTTGCCGTCCAAGTTGCATCTAGGTGAGCTCTGGAGTTGAAGTTTACCCTGGAGCAAGGGAAGAAAAAAAGCAGTTGAATCCCTGAATGTACTGGAGAGTTTACTGGAGATAGGGCACTCATGGTGGGTGGTGTGTGTGTGTGTGTGTGTGTGTGTGTGTGTGTGTGTCTGCCTTTCATCCTTTTGCTTAAGAGAAAGATTGTGTTCTTTATGACATCCAACAGACCGTATCCATTCCTTTTTATTAGAATTCATGTTATCCTAGTGCTGTAGAAAGAAATTAGCATCCTTTGGCCCCATCCTTCCACATTCTTCAGGGTTTATTTGAATCAATTATGTTTAAGGAAGCCCTCTGTGGATACCTGGCAGAACCGAGGCACTCCCACCCAGGCCTGTAGTGGATGCTATTCCTGGAGCAGAGCCTGACCAGAAAACCCCACAGACCCACAGGATCCTGGCATGGGTGACAATATTAGTACAATGCTGATGGCTACATTATTCAGCACAATAAAGGAAACAGCCCAATGCCAACAACTAAAAGAATAATTTAGGTCCCGAGAAGGGTCTCAGTGAGGTTCCATCCAAGCTCAGTTTCCAGGCACCAGACCAATACTGAAAACCAGAAACTGGGGATTGGGGGCCAAGGAGAAAGCACGACCAAGGAGGAAGAATGATCCACAGTAAACTTGCTCATGGGAACATGGCAGGAAATAAAACTAATGAGAGTGAGCCCAAGGCCAGCTTTGAGGCCATGGAACAATGTCACCCTCTCTCCATTGCCAACTCTGAGAGACTCTTTGACCCTAGCAATTTCTAGCTTTCTTCCAAGTCATCCAAACCAGGGAGCATCTGCTTTAGTTATACCTGATGTAAATGACGAGTTGATGGGTGCAGCACACCAACATGGCACAAGTATACATATGTAACAAACCTGCACGTTATGCACATGTACCCTACAACTTAAAGTATAATAATAATAAATAAATTTTTAAAAAAGTTTCTAAAAGTCATTTTGATCCTTATGTAAGAATAAGGTTTGAAGTTTTGTAGTGGAGAAACATCTCTTTTACAGTTGCAAAAATATTTACTACTTAGAACTTCTGATGTGAAGAACCTGGTTAATTTCAAGTGCTAATTTATCACAAATTAAAAAAATAAATGAGCTTGTTGGTTTCACACTATTACACTGATGGAAATAAAAATAATCATGTCCCTAGGTAGCTATTTTCACAAGCAGATTTGTGGCTCTTAAATGAATGTCTTATGGACATTTCCTTTCTTTGTTTTTTTCAAGTTGTGTACAGTTGGTTCAGAGACTCAAGTCCAATTACTTCTAAGACAACTCCGTCTAACTGAATTTAAAATAGGTTTTTCTAAAAAAAGAAGAAAATAAAAACGCAGGTGGCGAAAACAAAACAGATTTTTCCTTGATAGTCCTACAGAGCTTTCATAATAACTATGGAGGTGATTTCTTATGGGTATTTAGAATAAATAATGAGTTGACTAAAAAAGTTCAACCCTACTGTAGGGGCATGTTTCATTGTTAAGTCTCCTACAGTCTCCTTGAATGAGAGGAGAGCCTTATGTGGAGCCACAGAGTTACTTAAAGTAAAACTGAAAATGGAAATCAAATGCTTTCTGACCGGAGAAAGAGAGTTCAGGATGCCTGTAAGAAGCCATTTAATGTTGGAGGCTCTGTTCCTGTCCATGTGGAGTTTTTTTGGTTTGTTTGTTTGTTTTTGTTTTGATGGCGTCTGGCTCTGTCACCCAGGCTGGAGTGCAGTCGTGCAATCTTGGCTTACTGCAAGCTCTGCCTCCGCCTCCCAAGTAGCTGGGACTACAGGCGCCTGCCACCACATCTGGCTAATTTTTTTTTTTTTTTTTTTTTAGTAGAGAAGGGGTTTCATCGTGTTAACCATGATGGTCTCAATCTCCTGACCTTGTGATCCACCTGCCTCGGCCTCCCAAAGTGCTGGGATTACAGGCGTGAGCCACCGCGCCCGGCCGTCCATGTGGTATTTTGTCAACACTGCCTCTCTTCCTTAATCATCCCATATGTGTTCAATGCCTGGTGCCTGCCAGGATTTGGAATATTCTCTCTAGAAGTTAACAATATTGCTTCATGATAAAGGGTATCAAAATAGTCACATTCTGGGAAGATTGTTCTGTCTTTTGCTTGGGCTGGGTTCATCTTTAAATTCTTAATTTTCCATTCTTAGAAACTCTACTAAGGGAAACTGGAGTGAGGAGAGGCTATATTCTGGGGAGTAATTGGCCAAATTAGAGAAGTACCTAACATGTGGAAGAGAAGTCATGCAGAAAGCGATATTCCTAGGAACCTGTATTTGTAGTGACATTTTATTTCAATGTCAACTCTGAGGTCGACAGAACCTCCTTGTCTGTGAGGACAAAAAGATAGAGTTCTTCCTTTCTGGGGCTTCATCCACTTTCTGCTGCCCGTTGGATCTGTGATTGTCTTGCATGTCTGTTTTTCAGTGCCTGTGGCTTCCCTGCTATGCTAATTGTGCCACCTGTAATGATATGTGTCTTTTTATTCACAGGTGTCCTGGGGAAGTGTCGCTACATTTACTACGGAAAAAACTCGGAGGGCAACAGGTTTATCCGAGATGACCAGCTCTGAAACCAAGTTCTGTATACCTTCACCCATTTCATGAAAATAAAATCAAAAGGGAAATCAAAAATAAAGACAACGCTAAAGAAAAAACAATAGCCCACGTCGCCTCTCTTTGAGAAAAGCTATGACTTCAGCTTTTGGAACCTTCTGCTGACTTTGCCAGGCCTGTCAAGATGATCCTTCTGCCTTAGACTGAGTGGTCACATAGAGATTGACATGATTGCCCTTAAGCAGGTCTCATCCACCAGGGTGACAGACAGCGGTGGCGAAGCAACGGGGCTGACAGCATGAGCACCATGATAGATTGCCTGGTCCTGCCACTGCTCACAGGGGAGCAGAGGTCACACCTGGGGCCTCCCTGGGCATGCTCAGTGGCTGCAGTCAAGTGAGAAAGACTGTCTTCAGCTCACCTATTGAGTTGAAATCCCTCTGATATCATCGTGCTGCGGGCTTATTTTCAGTGAAAAAGTCACAGTTTAGGGGAAGGCCACTCTCCCTCACTCCCTTTAAATCTTCACCTCCTGTATTCTGCATATACATAGCTCCCGTCTCTTCCCCTCCACATTCCTTTAGCATCATTTTTATGACAGATGATGCATTTCAGTTTGCAGTTTTTCAGAGAAGAAGGTATAACTTCCCAGCCAGGTCATACATTTATGGCTGGCTTCATGTTGCTACAATCCCTTTATTGGAGTAAATAGCTTTCCCTAAATCCCTGACTACAAAAGCATGGACTTTTATCTTGTTTCATTCAACTCTAAATCCACTTCTTGCCCTGAATATGATGCAGTGTAAGGCAGCAAGACATCTTTCTCAGCACGAGGGTTTGGTTGCACCAGGGACTCTTATTCATTAATTTATTTTTAACCGTACACACTTCCAGTGATGCCTGGGGCCATACTTGTGCGTGGGGCTGGCTTGCTCCTTTGGGTGCTATTTAAAGGTAGTGAGGTGATGAAAGATAGAGTGATGGGTCAGGAGGTTAAAAAACAAAATTAAGACTGTCAAAAACACCCACCAGACCAAAGAGTTTTTATAGAAGGCACAAACCTTTTGGATTTCACATTTGTCACAACTTCTCAGAAATCAAATCCATAGGTTGTGAGACGGTGCTTCCTGTATGCTTGGCTGTGCCCTAGCACTAATGTCACAAGGAACATAAGTGTGATCATTGCTAGTTGGGTGACTCTAAGTTTATCTAACTTGCTGGTGCACCAGTCAGATCACTCTAGAAGATACTCAAAAGGCTGATTGTTCTTGACACAATAGTGTTTATTTTTCTGCTTCTTCTTTTTAGACCAAGTGTTCATTGTCCTCCCAGTATTAGGTCAGTTGGATGACAGCAAAACCTGAAAGAGAATCCCTCCAAGTTATAGATACTGGGGACTAGGAGCTGCTATTGGAAAACTATGGGGACTCAGAATCCCTAAGCTGCCCAAGGAGAACCTACTTTCTCAGCTCTAGCCCGTTTACATAGCCTCTGGCCCACTGAGTCAACACAGGCCTTGAATGATATGTATTGAGGCTGGCAGGAGTCCCTGTTAGAGATTATGCAACCCTTGTTAATCAGTTCTTTAGACAAGTTAACATAAAAATCCTCAAAACCATGAATAATTGGAGAATGTTGAATGTTTGCCTTTATCTCTCAAATCCATTAGTAACTGGAGTTGAGTACCTTTTCTCTGTTTGATCTACAAAACAGCACTGGAAAAATGCTTTTACATTATCAGTATTTGGTCCCACCCTGGGTCGTTGTTTAGAAGCATCAACACATGCTTTCTCCCTGGCATAATATGGGCAGCCAGAGTTCTGTGCAAGGGCAGCTAGACGAGTCCGATGTCATATCCAATCTAGCCGCACATATATCCTTGTCTTTATAAAAGGCTTTAACCCTGCCTCAAACAATAAAAAAGCACTTGTGAACTGACCACAGAATTTTTCCATCTTTATTTTTCTTACTTGTTTACTTTTTTTAATGTCAGAACCATTTGTATCATGCGCAGGAATGTCTCCCTCAATGTGAGCTTTGGAGGCAAAACATATTTTTGGAGTGAGTTATTGGCCACATTGTTTCCTTCTCTTTGGGTTGTTTATTTTCTTCCAGAACGGTGTAATAACTTTAATTAAGATTAGCTTTAATTATAAATTACCTAAAGGCCATCACTAAGGTATATTCATCTTATTGATAGAATTGTAGTGAGCTTTGTTTCTCTTAGGGAGGGATAATGATAATGAAGTGCTGGGTTGCTCACAGTTCCACTGTGTGTTAACCAGATTTCGCTGTGCTAGAGCTAGATTTTGGTCTGAATTGGCAGAGGTAGAAGCCATGCTGCATGTTTATCTTAAATCTGTAGGAATTTCCCAAGCCTTGTTTTTCAAAGTCGAGAAGTAGAAAGTAATAAATTCAATCAGGGCCCAGACATGTTTTGTACCTCCTTTACCCTTTGGTCTTTCTCCCTTTTATCCTATTCCACTGAGCTTGTTCTTTGGGGATTGTGGTGCCTGACATCCCTGTCTTCCCTCCCCTAGGACGCTGACCTGAGTGGAGAGACCTCGGCAATACAAGGCTGTCCTGCAACTCTCTGTTGCCTCAGCAATGTCAGGACGACTGTCTCTTTCCTAAGTAACATAATTTTAAAGAACAATTTGTTCCTTAGGGAATAATGTCTTGGATTGTGAGGAATCCTATTAAAAGTACAACTATTGCGATCATTTGCTTTTACTTTTACCAGCCTCGCTCATAAACCCTCCATCTGTTTGTTGCTTTAAATAGAAGCACATTATAAGAGATTATCACTTGATCAGGCTGCATGTCTGAGTGTTGTGTGTTTTCACATACTCATGTATACTAAGGAATAAAAGAAAGCAAACCACAGATTCTGGATGAAAGGATTTTTTCATTTGTGTGTGTGTGTGTGTGTGCATGAGTGTGTTTCCAGCAGAGACGTATCTTGCACATTTTCAAGGGAAAAATGTCTTTCTTGCTGTTTTCAGGAAATAACCTGGCTGTCTTTCTTTTCTTTGTTAACATGCAGACCAAAAACAATCCACAGGGCCCTTTTCATCAAAACAATAATGGTGTTTAGTACTTGCTACTGGCAAAGGCAGCCTAAATCAGGTCTGTGTGGCTGCAACACAGGTAATGCCCAGCATGGACACAACAGTACCCATTGAGACTCTTCCTTGGTGTCCATCATTGTAGCTGATCCAGTGTGACCTTTGACCATCTGCTTCTTCCAGTTCTGTTTCCAGGAAGAAACCCTCTCTGAAGAAGGGTGCTACCACTACTCAATTCTCTCTAAGTTGTTCAAATACCATGCAGGAAACTGACTGTTGTGAGTAAGACCTGGAAAGGAAAATGAGACCTGAGAAGCACAAAGAATGTTGATTACCTGTTTATATGACAACTAGACCATCGGCTTGTGGTCCAGTGTCGTGTGTTACTTCTAATGCAAAAGCAACCACTCAAATGACCTGAAGAACATTGAAAGGCACAACCACTGTTCAAAATATTGTCTTCCTACACGTTTACCTGAAATTTCCCAGCATTGGCAGTTCCTATCCTTTGGGTAATTATAATGCTAAGTGTTAATTTGTGACTTTGTGGTTGGGATAGGTCATAAATTGTGTTATTTGTGCATATTATCATATAAACACATGCTAATTCTTCTAGACTATCTTGGAATGTGGCCCAGAGAACAAACAACCTGGGACAAGGGAGTTTTGCTAAGAAACAGTAGGGGAAATTGTAAGTATGTAATATGTTTGGTGGAGAGTTGCTACAGTAGGAATGATATAAATGGCAATAAATGGGATTATGCCAAGAGACAGAATGCAGCAGAATTAAAATGTGGCATCTTCATGGCTAGGAGTAAATTGAGAAGGAAAGGGAAAAGACAGTTTTCTGCCAGTTAAAAGGTTTGCTGATATTCAGTACTACAGTGATGTTTAGGGATATTTTATCCTCAAAATGTAATCATGTTTCATATAAATGAGTGTCCACCCATTTAATGTTTTACAAGTTTTTCTGTTCAACACAGTGAAACAGTGTAGAAAAGATGGTTCATGGAGCACTGTGGGAACAAATGATCACATGCGTGGCAGCTGCATATGGACAGAGATGACTGTGGCTGGTACCTAATATTCTACAAACTCAGCATCCTAAGGCAAGTGCCTCAGCTCTGGACCAGCTAAAAAATACAAGGTAAACTTATGATCTGGGCAGTCATATGAAAGAGAAAATAGTTTTATGGTCATGGGAAGTCTTCATATGTTCATCAAGTTCAGAGGTAGATGGACACCTTGAGAAGGTAACACAAAAAAACAAAAATATTTAAAGAAAAAGACGAGTGCCTGTATATGGTGCAAAAGATGCTGGCAATAGGATTTAACTGTTATTGGCGTGCAGACAGCGAGTAAGAACTTAGCTCATCGAAAGTGTGAATAACATCTTAGTTCAAGTGGATTATGTGGATTAATATGCAGAATATCCTAGAAATCATGTTTATGTTTTGTCACATCAATTTACTTTAAATAAACTTTTCCTTCTTCGTATTGTAATAGTTCTCTCAATGTTATAAATAGGAATGTTTTTTAAAACCTCTGGGATAATTTCCTTTAGATGTGAACTTTCCAATTTAGGTGTTTGTGATGAGAGGGAAAAAGTCCTGACAGTGGGCTTAATCACAATATTTAGACTCTTCTAGTTACAGAGTATCAAAATAGGTAAGAATTAATGTATATTATTTATTCACAAAAGCTCAATTTCATAAATCATAGTCTAAATCATAATAATTAAGTGCTACTATAAAAGAAATTTTCCTTGAAGCAAGATACAAATAAAATTTAACACCCAGGTAGAGTATGGTGTTTTAATTTTTATGTTATTACTGTTTAAAGTCATCTTTCATGAAAAAATGTACTCTGACTTCTACCCCACATTCAGTTTTTCAGGTTGTGCTTATGATAGAAACAGCTTTTGGGGGCAAAATATAGCTTAATTAGAACAATAACAATGACAGCTATAAAGTCCTCTAAAACTTTTAACTAATTACTTGGGTTATTAGAGAGAGAGAGAGAGAATGTGTATGAAAGAGTTTGGGATCTAACTAGAGAATTCCTATTACTGACATAAATTCTCTAAGTTTTGCATGGACTCCAAAATAGGTCAGCAATTATCCTGTTACCATGTTACATAGAAAAATGCATCTATTTCATAGCCAATTAATTAATATCTACTTTGTGTCCTCCTTTCCTATGAATTGCTGATCTACATTTTATGATGTCAGTCACAAAGTGCTGAAGCCCTGGTGCGACAGTGTCATGATGTTTTTGTTTTTCCCCTTCTTGGCCTTTTAAACACAGGATCATTGTTCAAAGAGTAACTTAGAGCAATTTTGTTTTAATTAAGAGAGATCTTTGATGCTCAAAGAAAAATAGGTTACATGAGTTATCTCTAAAAGTTACTATATAAAACCAGGTTTCATTTATAGACTATTCATATTCCCCTGTATTTTTACATTCATACACAATAGCCATATTTCTTTATTTGCATACAAAGGTTGTCTTCCCCCAAATAATTCCTTTTTATACAGGACTATAGCATAACGTTTACATTCTGTAGCCACATTGGCTACATTCTCAAACACAATAAATGTCCAAATGCCTCCAGTTAGAACACTTACCTCCCCTCCTCTTTTAAAAAACTTTATTTGGTGTGCTCACTCAGAATGATCCATTTTCAAAGGATCACAGTGGAGTATAAAAATATTTGGACTTAATGGTCAACACATTCCTGAAAGATCTAGAATAAATGATGATAATGAAGGTTACCATCACTAGAAAAGGGTCATATCTTGTGGTGTAGATATTTTGATAAGTTAGGTTTAACCATTGCTTGGAAAATTACATTTAGCTGAAAAAATTAGCATCTCAACTCTGATTTATTAGATACATCTTGCAGATTTATTTTATAAATTTTTGCATATATAATATAGATATAGGGTACTGGCTTATCAAATATGAAAATGGAATTTACAACTCCATTTTGGCTAGTTTGGCCTATGGACCACTTTAGTGGACAGTATTATGGGCTTCTTTCCTCTGGTTCATTCATGATACACAAATGCACATACTCATAAACACATAAATAATGGTTACTATAATTATTTTGCAATATCATCATTAAAACAAGCACTAAAACTGTCATTTTACTAAAATGTGTTGGTCAAGAAACTACTAGTTGTAGAAGTACATGCTACTGGAAGCATCCGTTTACTTCATGCAGATCAGTAATATAAATATATGAAATACTCTTAAGAATACAAATTGGCTATAAATATTTAAAAACTCTAATATTTTCCATTATTTCTGATTTGCTCCCACCACACTGTTGGGTCACTTCTTTAGAAATATTTTCCAAGTAATTCTTGGTTTACATGGTTTACATGGTCCCCTTAGGTTTTGAAGCTTTTTAAAAAAACGATGCTCATTTGTATCTCTAAGGATGCATATCCATGCACTCACTTCACAAATATTCACTGGGTACCCTTAGTATGCTAGAAAGTTACAAATACAAGGGGATAATAATAGGATGCCCTGCTTTTTGACAAATTTCTGTCTGGAGTAGACTAATATATACACAAAAATTATTATATGCTGAGATAGGTATTAAGTTAGAAATTGCACTAAAGAACTACATAAATTAAGGCACCAGAAATGATGGTGGGAAGTTAATTCCAAATATAGCCATAATCCAACCATATCTGCAGTTACCATCTTGACCCAAGACACCAACATTTCTTAACCTGGATTATTGATTACATCCACCTCCCTACTAAGTCTCCTGATTCTCCTCTTACCTTTGTACAGCCTATTCTTTATGGGAAAGTCAGTGTGATCCCCTAAAAATGCTCGGTGACATCCTGTGGTTCTACTACCCATTTCCCATCAGTGGTTTCCCATCTCACTTGGAGTAAAAGTTAGAGTCCTTTCAAGACCCTATGTGGTCCTACATAATCAGTTTTAGAGAAATCAGGAAATCAGTGACCCAATAGCTGTGAGAGTGAAACAGAAATAAACGCCCATACCACCCCTCACTGCTCTTCACTCCAGTCACACTAGACTACAAGGAGCACATTGTGGCTCTGGGACTTTGCCCTTGCTGTTCCCTCTGACTGTAATGTTCTTCCCCTAGACAACCCCATGAAGTGCCACTTCAATTCATTCAGGTTTTTGCTCAAATGCAACCTCACTAGAGGGGCCTTCTTGGACCACCCACCCACTCATCACACTCTACTTATCTTGCTTTGGTTTCCTCTGTTGCACTTGCCACTGCTTCACATATTAGATGTTTATTTGCTTTTTCATTTATTATTCTAACAAGGGGGTGCCTTGAGGGTGCCTTGGCCTATAGCAGGCCCTCAATAAATAATCATTTTATGAATGAATGAAAGAATGGTTCTAACTTGCAGAGGTCTATGAGGCTTTGTTTACAAACATATTGTTGCATATTGAGCAGGATGAGTCTCTTTTATCAGATGAGTTTTCATTGGAAAGTTTTCCACTCCTTTCTTTAACCTAAATCAGGCAAATAAATACCTCATTCCATTCCAGAACACTATACAATGAGGAAGCATGAGACAATGAAAATGGGTTAAGATTGAAACAGGAAAGAAAATGAATGTCACGAAGCAGAATGACTAGATGATATGCAACGTGACATTGGATGGATTTGAGATGCAGTGTAAGCTTTACAGGGGTGCTTTTCCAATTATTTCCCATGCAACCAGCAGGCTATGTGGAATTGGTTGTGGACACTGTAAGTAATACAGATCAGAGATTATATTTGTAGAAGCAGAAGTTCTTTTCACTCAA